TGGCTTGATCCGAATCTATAAAGGTACCGCGAAGTGTGTATGTCAGCATTCATTGCTGGTTCGACTCTTGTTGGTGAAGCTCACAAAATATATACGTATTCACTTTACCGAGAAGTCTAGATTCACTTTTACCCCAGCCATAAAGAATTAGAATTCTTCTCGACAGAACGTTATCTTGGAAGGAATTAAGTTTTAGATTAATCGCGTAAGAAAGAGAGATGTTTCTTTCTGCACGAAAGTGTCTGAGGTTTTATTCTTTCGCCGATTTAGGATAACACTATCTCTATACAGCGACATTCAAGGGACCAGAAAAATTTGCTGTGGAGAGAATTTCATTGCAGAGAACACTTATGTCATGGGGAGATAACCCTATGGGATGCAATAAAAATTATTTATGCAGAGAAAATTGTTGTAGACAAGATTGTTGCAGAGAGAGTCAATCTGTATTATCGTAATTCAGTATTCAGCTATAAAATTAGACACAGATTGAATTGAAACACTAAAATGCGGGTTTTCTGAGATTTCCCAGCTGTTATATGGGCTCCTTTATTTATTATTTTCTATGAAACGATCGAAGAAAATGACATGAGGACTTGAAAAATAATTTCTCTAAGAAACAATCGATCTTATATAATCATAGATGTTTCATAAATAATTAAAACGATGGGTTCACCTGAGCAGGTGTAACGGGAATACCAAATAGGCATATACCTCAGTATATTCAGCTTTTAGTAAACTCCAAAAGTGCTCTTTTCTTCTTCTTTTCAAAAGGTTGCATGGATCGTACGAAGCACTAGAAGGTGGCTTGGAAATGGATGCGATGGTGGATCTGACTGGAGGAATTGCCTACATTATACCACTGGCTATCGTAGACGACAGCAATCAGTTGACTTTTTTCAAAACCATGTACTTGGCATTCGTCAACGGATGTTTCCTCACTTGCGATCGCTTGGTATGATACTGTAATTTAAAAAATGATAATCAGCTTATTTTCAAAGTCATTCAGAAACTCCGGCTTTCGAAGGTGTGCTATTAATTAAATCCCGCTCTGGATTTTTCGAGTTGTAATCTATTCCACTGCAAAAAAGGCAGTTTTAACTCAAATTTAGAGTTTCCCAGGAAATTGAAATCGCAAATTTTCAATTTTTGTCAAAATGTGCAATGGTTAATAATATTAGGGTATATCTCATTTTAAAATTTAAAAAATAGAAGAGCTTTTATAAATTAGAAATGAAACGTTAAATGGGTCAGAGGCAGGAAGTATAGTAATTTTGAATTTCCAAGATGAGACATGTAATTCAAACAGGAGAGAAATAAGCCATCCATGAGGAGAGGGAGATGATAAATAAAAATGAACATTTATGTGGGAAAACCATTATGAAAATAACAAAATGCGATTTAAAAAATTCAAAATTTCAGTCAGATTTCATCAGAGGAAAAAGTTATGGATTCGTAGAAGTGTATGGAGATATGCTAGGCCTTAGTCGATGACTTTCAAGTATATACCGTATGTCCTTATGTTTAGACATACAGAGTGAAAAAAAAAATTACTGCACCGCCCTCTGGAAAACTTGGATATTAAATATACATTGCTCTGCGTTCCAAATTTGAAAATGAAAAGTCTGCTGTTGATAAATTCTTTTAAGGTGAGTGACGACTCGGATGAAAAAGGACTCGTCAACAAGCACGCGTACACGATTACAAACGTGGCATTCGTTGAAGCTGGATCTGACAAGCCTTATGAATTACTATGCATTCGGAACCCATTTGCGAATTCCATGGAATGGAACGGAGCTTGGAGTGACACGGAGTACAATTAAATTTATTTCTACGCAAAATTTTCTGGAATTTCGTTTAACGCTTTTTTCTATACACAGTGAAGACAACTGGTCCAAAGTGAGTGAGGAAGAAAAGGCGAGAATTGGCTTTACGCCAAACAAAGAGGACGGGAAATTTTGGATGAGTTTTGAGAATTTCCGCACAGAATTCACGTACGTTCAGATTTGCACGGTTTCGCCCGATTTCGACGACAACATGCATCCACAAGGAGCGACAAATCCTCAGGTAAATTTCTTGTGAACCACCTTGGCTTGAGTACATTTAAAATTTCCGTGAATTTAGGGGATATTTCTTTCTGCCCTTTATGAACAGTTCTCAACTTAAAAGTGCAGTAACTGCAAAATTCGCCACGGGTGGTTCACCTGCTTAGTGTCCTTGGACGCCGTATCAATTATTTTTGCATTTCAAGGAATATTTCTAACTTTTCAACAGGTCAGAATCAGGTACGGTGAATGGAAGGATTCATCAGCAGCTGGATCGACAGAAGAGAATTTGCCGTTCGCCGCAAATCCGCAATTTTTGCTTACTGTTACTGAACCAGACGATAACGAAGACACTTGTAATATGTTCATTGGTCTGATGCAAATGTACAGACGCAGGAATATGAAAGACCCCTTACCCATAATGTTCTTCATTTTTCCTGCAGTAAGCGCAAGTTTCAGTATTCTTGGATCCCTCAAATTGATTGAAACACTAATAAAGACATAATGTAACGAATTCATGTGACGAAAGAAAACGAAAAATTTTTATGCTTTTGTTTCGTTTACATATATGAATATAACGAACATTTTCTTCACAAATTTAAAAGTACTTCTTGCGAAATCGAAAGACAATTTCGTGATTTAGTTTTTCGAATGATAGATATACGGTTAGCATAAATAGCATGCCTCCAACAAGTTATAAATCAGTCATTGTTGGAAAGTATATCCGGTGACTTTGCATTGAAAAGTTAACGTATCCGAAGCAAACTAAAATCACAGTATCGACAAGTCAACTTTTCTTCAAATCTTTCCGTGACCTCGTCTGCTTTAAATTGTCTTGTTAATTTTGAAACAGATGAATTTAATTTTTAAAAGCTTCATATATCGCGATGCACTACTCAATTATAAATTTTTTTCCAGAAACCCTGATCATGTACCATCGAGTGTCAAAATTCTTTATTTACGGAAAAGGCTCATCCAAAATTTGATCCCATCGAAATCTGGTTCGAATTCATACTTCGAAATATTTCCCTATACTGACGTACAGATGACTTTGATTCTTAATGCTGTAAGTTTCTAAAATTTTTACAGGAAGTTTGAGTTCTCACTGTGAATGGCAAATAGTCTAATTCTCAAGTCTGTTAATCGTTTCATGGGATGACAAGTCTGGGACTTCTTTAAATAATTTCATGTCCATTATTATTGACAGAATCTCGAAGACCCGAACACGAAGCTGACTGACGAAGACATACAAACCCGTGCATCAGAGATGCAGAAAACGGAAATGATTCCGCTGAGGGAGAATTTGGACAGGTTTTCATTGACCCCAGGAAATTACGTCATCATTCCGTGCTCAACAAAGGGAGAAGAGAATCAATTTCTTCTACGCGTGTATTCTGCGAAACGTTTGTTGATCAAAGAACTCATCGACCCCGAGGAACCAAAATAACGAACAGAATCGAAAAATTCAAAATGTGCAAACGATCAATCAAAATGTGCGAAATTGTACCTGATCATTTCACGAGAGCATTGCCAAAAGCGTCATTTTCAACTTAATACCCGCTGTTATATTCACGTATATAATGTTGGAATGTCAGTTGAACGTTGTTGATGGAAAATTATCAAAAACTATGGATAAATATTAAGTTTCGTTCGTTTCTTAGTCTCAGAAAACATGCATCTCTCGAGCGATGCCTCAGAGCGGAAATTACTCGAATCACCCACCGTATGTATGCCATGTATGAAAATTGGGTACATAGTTGAAAAAGGAAAAAAATATTGATCAGTACAATGTGAATTCAGATTTTTTGCGTTATGCTACAAGTTTCACTAAAATTGTTGCTGTTCATCGACAATCAACATTTGATATAAAGCTGGAATTTTGTTTTGCCAGCAAATTTTTTGATGCGTCGCTCCAAGTGGAAAAATTGAATCATGAAGCGGAAGGGATCAATTTTTTTTAATTTCAATGCTAAAATTAAATAACATCATTGACTGTTGCTTGATCCGTTATTCACTGAAAATTGTGCGCGCTCGTGCGTTGAATATTTTGTTTATTTCTTGGCGACGAAAGATGCAGCATATTATTAGAGCTTACACAATCTACATCGTGCTTCATTTAAAATCTTCAACAACAAAAAAACTCTGGTAATGATGCTTTTATTTTCTGCAGTGCTTCGTTCCACTTTTTGTTCGCGTGACTTTTTGAACAAGCTGTACCCTTTTCGTGTCCTCGGTAACCCTACAGTGTTTTTCAAGTCACAGAGTATATCGAAGATGGGAGAGATATATTTGTTAAATATCCTATAGTGCCCTTCGTATCCTTGGTTACAGAAGTTTGTCAAGCAAAAAAAACGGATTCGTTTATCGCAAAATCTATGTATCGTTCGCCAGCTGTTCTGACCTTGATGCTTTGCAATAAAGTCGCGCGCGAAAGGAGGATTCTACATATTCTTTTCTGGAAAGCAGTCTCAACCGGTTCTCAGGATAATTGCATAGTTTTACGCTATAGTCAAATTATATTAAAGGTACTGTGGAAAAGGTATGGGGAATGGAATGATTGCTGCCTCAATTTCATCTGACGCGCTCCCCACCAGTGATGAGCCGGTATGTTTTATTTTTTATTCCGCTCAAGCGAGCTTTCAGTTCGAAGATTTTGCAAGAAATCTGCGGAACAACATAATACTGTGTTTACTTTTTCTCATTGAAGAAGTAGCAAAGCTTGACAATAATTCTACTATTCGCAGGAATTATACAAAGACCGACGCTTTCCAGCAACAGTCGCATCTATGTTTTTTAGCATAGACAAGCAAGATCAATTGGCTGCTTTGAGCATCTCATGGAAACGACCAAAAGTAAAAAAACATCTCTCTCTTTCTCATCTGAGTTTGTGTGTGTGTGTGAAACATTTCGGAGTATAAAGTTAAAATTTTCATCAGAAACTGCAAATGTTTAATTCCACAGGACATTTCGAAATCACCGCGACTTTTTCTGGATGGTAGAAATGTTTCCGGAAGCGACATCCAACGGGGAACTTTAAAGAATGTCGCGTTCCTTGCAGCATGTGGGTCGATTGCAAGAAGAGCTGACTTAATGGGTCGAGTAAGTAACAAAATACAGCCGAAGAGTATATACTGTTAACTCGAATGTATGTACATTTCACAAAAATAATCAAAGTAAAGCAGGTGAGCGTGCGTGGCCCGTAACGGCGCATGTCATAATAAGTACAGATTCAAAAAATAAATCATTTATATTGAAAAAAAATGGGAGCATAGAACAGCTCTGTATAATTGCGAACAGTCATGCAGTCATTATATACAGTTCTCTTAGCGACGGTCTCATTTTTATTCTGGCGGATTCTCAAGGGATTCTTAAAGGCACACTAACCTAAATTGAATCATTTCCTCAAATTGTTAAAATTATTTATTTTAATTCGTTTTGTTTTTGCTCTCGAAGATTTCAACTCTTCATCTTCTTTTTTTTTTTTGGATCTCACTGTTTTAGCACGCATCTTTTACGGTTCGCGCCGTTTCGGGTTGCGATGAAGCCTCGAGATTACGCAGAGGAAGAAAATTGCGTATACGCGTTCAAGGCATATCCTCGTGAAGATTTCAACGTAGCAGGATGACATTGCATCAAAAGGCATCATGTCACTTGAAAATCAATGCAAATTAATGAAAGATGGAAAGAAGAGGGGACGAAATCATATATGAAGGAAATCGGAAAAAGTTATCTCAGGAAGTTGATGCAGTAGCATACCCTTGGATAAATTTTGAATCAAGTCAACGAGGCAACGCGATATTTCTCGTGTTTCAAGCTAGAAAGTTGTTCATGTGATATAAGATTAATGTTTGGCTCCCTTTGAATTGGCGAATTCTTTCCAGTTGCCGTGTGAAAACGTAATTCGATTTTTATTCATCCCGGCATGTTTTCGAGGCGCCATCGCGACCCGAAATGGAGAAAATGCCAACATTTTCTCCATGCCATTTTCTTCGAACCTCTACATAAACTACCTGGCCAGGATCAATATTCAATGTGAAATGTCAATATTTTTCTCTCCGCTCGAACGATTGATTTTTAAAGCTTTTCGTTCGTGCTTTATGCCAGATGACAGGAATTAGTTGAAATTACGGTACTTTATTGATTCATTGACGTTTAAATAAGTTGCTTTGTGATCCAAAAGGCTGTCTTGTACATACTACGTAGATTATTTTAATGGGTCCGCTTTTTACAGATAGTGAGGGACTCGTCAAATGAGTTCGATTCCGATGACTACGACGGGTCGATAACATTCTATTTATGGCTTCACGGTAGCTGGACTCCAGTGCTAATCGACGACCGTTTGCCGTATTTAAACTATGATTCAGGAGGTGGGCGACTTCTTTTTTCCAGTGGCACCGACCCGGACGAATTTTGGCTCCCTTTGCTTGAAAAGGCGTTTGCCAAGTAAGACCAGTGTATTAACGGCTGATCGGTGTAGCAATGCATCCGATACAAACTAAAATTTAATGGCCTTTTTACTAGTGGCATTTCGTAAACATGAAGAATGCAAAATTTTCCAAGAGGGAGAAGGCTTGGAATTGATGGATCATAAGTTTTTTCGGCCTTGTACTACTTTTGAATAGATAAAGTCCTTTTGAATAGATAAAGACTGATTCGAACTTCCCGAAGAAATATTTGCTGAATTTCTAACCACTGTTCCAATTCTTGCTCAATGCATTTTAAGGAATGACATTCAAAGTTTTGAAAACTCAGTATTTGTAAATGAATGCGTTTAACCTGTCAAGCATGCATGATTTATGAAGTTGAAGTGAATAAAACGAGTATCTGAAAATGAAAATTTTCTTGGCTGCTGATGAGAAAACTATGCTCTCAATAAGTTTTTCTGCGCTTGGAAATGTTTGTATCAGAATTGCTGAATATATTGCTCTAAATTATGGATTAGTGAGAAAAAGCTGCCCATCAAGTCATGGATCATTTAAGACAATTTTTAGTCAACGAATTCAGAGGGGCTTTTCAGGTATTGTTGTTCATATCAAAATTTATTTTTTTCGGAGGATTCTGACTCAGAAACTTCGGTACCAGAAGAGCTGAAATAATAATTTAAAAATTTGTGATTCGCGATCCCTTTTTCGGCCAGAATAAGCATTATTATTATCAAAATACGGAACAAATAAATGGAAATTTTTGGATTCAGCACAGTGCCAATGAATGGAGCGGTCATATTTTAAATATGGAACTTATAATTATATAGTTAATAGCTCCTCACGAATTCTTCTCACACTAAACCACAGAATATTCAACGTGCGTATACTTCTCTATTCCTCCGGACGCTTTCTTCTACGTTACAAATGTACCATCACAATTGACAATCGCACGATGAAAAGGAGTGGTTTTTTTAAAAATTATATTGCTTTGGAAAAACTCACTTTTTTTTTGTGAATGCCAAGGGTTTATGGGAGTTATGAAGCCCTGGAAGGAGCTCAAGAAATTGATGTCCTGGTTGAATTAACTGGAGGAATTGCCATGAAATCGCAGCTGGGAGAAATCCTTTCTTCGAGTGATTCAAATGCTGAGCGAGATTTTTTCAAGCGAAATTACATGTGGTTCTTACACGGAGCCTTGCTAATCTGTCACAGAGACAGGGTATGTCAAAATGCGTTTCAACAACTCATCGTTTCCAAATGGCAGTATGCATGCATGATTTTTTTTTCTCTCGTGGAAAACTCTTGAATCTTGTGTTATGCGATATTGGAACTACTCTTGGCATTATGTTGATGCGATACAATAGATACAATAAATTAAAGATTCAATCGGAACTTTCTGAGCGATTCGATTTAGAAGTTGAATCGTTGTTTCGTTCAGGGAGGGAAAAGAATCGAAAACGGATTGATTGACAAATGCTCGTACACCGTAACAAACATGGCGTACGTTTCGACTCGGGGATCTAAAGAACCTTTTCGATTGCTCAGGATCAAAGCTCCATGGAACACGTCAATGGAATGGGATGGTCGTTGGAGAGATACTGAGTATAACCAAAAATTACACTCGATATAAGATCAAACAATTTTGAAAACGTGATATTTCCTTTTCACAGTGAACAAAGCTGGTCAATGGTCAGCGACGAGACGAAAGCTAGGATTGGTTACGAGAAGCACCCCACAGACGGAGAATTCTGGATGTGCTGTTCTGATTTCTGTGAAGAATTTAGCGCAATCACTGTATGTCTTTTGACGTTCGATGGTACCTCACAGAAAAATGACTACACAAAAAAGGTTTGCTTTTTCTTCTGTTTTCAGTTGAAAATTTTCGGTGTCATGAGAAAATGCCATGGGCTCTGAGAAATTCTCAGAATTGAGAGAAAGCTGGCATAATGAGAGATGTTTTGTCAAAAAGAAAATGCCATGAAGAGACGATGACGCAAAAAAAATTTCATCACAGAAAACTTTCCCACGAAAGATAAAGAAAAAATCAATTGAGTCTTCGCAGAGTCAAAAATGTCCAGGAAAAACGTAATCTGGGCGAATACAATTTACGAGAAAATATTAGGCATGAAAAAAGAAACAAGGACACGATTCTTATACAGTATCCCCTTGAGAAAAAAAAGCCGGGGTAAAAATTGAAACTGTTTCCAGGAAACTTTTCCTCAAGCAATTTTGATCACGGGATTTTCTTTCTGTGGCATTTTATTTCCCAGTTCATTTATTATACGCCCCGGCGTTTTATTATTACACACCCTGGGCCCTGCTGTTTCTCGCAATGGACACTATAAAAATCGAAAACGCAGTAATTTTTGAAACAGTCATATCATTTCAAGTAAATTCATTAAATCAATATTATACGCAAGTAAAATCCATCAAGTATTGCAGATCTCATTGGAACCTGGAGAATGGAAGGGCAAGTCGGCCGCCGGATACAAATTCAAGGAAAACAAAATATTTCCATGCTTCGGAAATCCTCAGTTTCTTCTTACTGTCACTGAAGCCGACGATGACGATGAAGAGGGCAATTCGACGTTGATGATTGGTTTGATGCAAAAGCGAAGGAAGGATAATATTGTCAAGTACTTCAACGCAGCATTCTATGTGTATAAATTGGTAAGCCCTTCAAACTGCATTCTGAGTCATACTATCGAAAAATTGATCGAAAGACGGGTTGCTTATTCGAACGGGTTTCTGCAAATTTACGCGGCAATTTTTATGAGAGCTAGTGTCTGAGTACAGTATAAGCCTTTACACTACTTTATTGAAATATCAACCCAAATGTGAACCTTACCTCTAAAATAAGTTTAGAGCATTTCTATAAATAACGCGACAAAAATTAACTTTATCCCCGTTTTGAAGACGAATGATGAATCAAGTTCGGCTTCCATTTGATTTTTTTGTCTTTCATCAATCGGAAATATTTTTTTTCCACCTCGACAATATTCTCCAACCGTCCTTTTCTCGTTAAAGTCAATGCATTTTTCACAAAGAAATAGAATACGTCACTTCCTAAGTGGCGAAAAAAAAACGAAATTTCTCTCAAGCCGAAACGAAAGCAATTTTTTCTCATGATAACTCAGATTTTCAAGAAGGTTCGCCTTTTTTTCCACCCGAAGGATTCAAGCAATGAAAGTGCCCAGCTTTCAACAGACGAAGAACTGCTATCTTGGCAACACCAAATCGGAAAATTTTTGCCCTTCCGAGAAGTTATCGGCACTCTTACATTAAAGCCGGGAAACTACGTTCTGATCCCTACAACAGCAAACGCTGGAGAAGAAAACAAGTTCTTTTTCAGGATATTTTCAACAAAATTTGTGAAGGGGGAAAACTTGTGCCTTCATTCACTTGATTGAAATAAAATGCTTGAGAAAATGTATAACCTTGTCGCGATGTCCTTTGTTTGTAATATAATTGTATAATTTTACCGGAGATAATTTTCCGTAAGTTTTTATTCATCGTCTCTTTTCGAATTTCAGATATGTAAAAAGACTTGCGTACATTTTTCAACTCCAGAAAGAAAACTGCCTGGAATACATCTAATAAAGGAAGGACGTTTTCCTTTATTCTGTGAATCCACCTTATGGTAAATGCAAAAACGTCTGTCGTCACACATAAAAAAGCGACAATCTAAAAAAATGCTTTATTACATCATGGAAAATTATTCATCAACTCACTCCAGCCTAAACTTGATTAATTCATGCCAGTTATTGAATGAATCCACGTTTAAATTCGATTTAATAATCCATCTTTTACATGAATTGACAAAATCAAGGCAAGTAAAAAAAACTGTAAAATTGTTCAATTTCAAGCCTACGGTTTAAAATCGAATAACATAAAATTGCACAACATAAACCTTGTGCTTCAAACAAACTTTTACTGCTGCTTTGTCTTCAATATTGGGGATGGGTGGGTGTATCCAACATACCTGTAGGATGTCCAGTTTTATTTTGTGGAGTGTGTTCTCTTTTATTTTTGTCATTTGTTTGTGCTTTGTTTCATGCTTTGAAATGATTGAATGTATTTGGGGGAGTTGGGTTGGGTGGGGAGGGGGTTTGGATGTGGGAGTTCTGGTTATCCCTTGTGAACGCTGAAAAGCGGAAAATAAAGTTTTCTGTTCATTCATTCATTCATAAAATTGACCTACTATTGCATATTATTCTCACATCACGACCTTTCCATAATGTCCCCATATAAGCATAAAAATCCGAAGTGCAAAATTAGGTGCTTCTCTTCAAATTCTTCAAGTGCAAGGAGCATGATATTTTTTTCAGACTCAGCTGCTGAAGAAAGACGCAGTTTCTGTTGAAATTTGCGTAAATAAATAAATAAATAAATAAAAGCGCTGAAGCCACACATTCGATGTAGAACCCAGAGCGCAGTTTTTGTCCAGTGCCTATTCCTTTGTGTACATTATGGACGCCAATGGCAACGGGCTTTTCCAGGTCATGCCATCTTTTAGAAGGCGAAAAGTGCGCAGTGTCCATTCGGGTACGTCTGCAGTAGAAAGTCTTGCTGCATAGTACATATTTTCCAATAAATAAGTTAAAATATTGTAAAATGAAGCATTTCTCATAGTTCTACATTTACCATGGGTTGTGGATCTTCAGCTGAAGTCGTTCCTCCTGACGCGAAAGACAATCTTGAAGAGGACCCGGAAGACGTGAGTAGATACTGCTGACATCTGTCCGTTCATGAGCTTATTTTAGAGGATGCATTTTATTCCATCAGAAGGTTATGTTTCAGGCCTAACAATATTTTTTAAAAATTTGCAGGGCTTATTCAAAGACAGCGACTTTCCCGCGGACATCTCGGCCATCTGTTACAGTGAAGATGGTCGGAAAAAATACGAAGCTCTCAAGATTGTATGGAAGCGACCCCCAGTAAGTCATTTCACGCTTATTATTTGAGGAATATTTTTCGAAGTTGATAGCAGAATCTTTGATTTTATGAAATAATGTTGGAGACTTGCTTTTTTCCAGGAACATTGGAAAAAACTAGGAATTTTTAACAGATTCACGCTATCAACTGCGATTTCTTCTGAAATTACTTTCTGCATGAAAAGATATTTTATTGTCCGAGTTATTTTTCATTAATGTATAAATCAAAACGCCATCATCTATGATAAAACGGGATATTTTTCGGTCCCTGGGTTATGATTCGGTCTGATTATTTAATAGCGTGAGGAAGAGCTTACAATTTATCGAGCTTAGTCAAATAAATGTGATTGTTTTTAGTCTAAAAAATACTTTTTTAAATTTCAGGAACTGAGGGAATCCCCTTGTCTAATGGTCGAAGGAGTTTGCAGCACTGACATCGTACAAGGCGAACTGGGCGACTGCTGGTTTCTGTCGGCATGTGCTGCAGTTGCACGAGAAAGTTCCATCGTCACTGCGGTAAAAACGACATCAACCAAATTCCTCACAATTTCGAAAACATCTTGAGGGTGTAACTGGGAATTTTTTTTCAGGTATTCAGAGAACATGCTGCGGATCCACACGCGTGCAAAAATTCCAGTGGCATTCTTGGACTTCAGTTTTGGCGCTATGGTACATGGGAGCCCGTCACAATAGATGACAGACTCCCTTGTATTGTCAACGAAGACGGGAAAACCTACAAGTTACTTTTCGCTAGATGTGGAAATCCTGACGAATTCTGGCTTCCGATGATCGAAAAGGCATACGCCAAGTACGTAAGGGACGTAGGTGTTATTATACGGATTCATAAAAAAATTGACAATAAGGAGTTTCAAAATCTTGCTCAATCGGAAATGAGTGAAGTTGTGCGTAGAAAAAACGAACCTGTTATCCTATTTCCTGAAGAAATACAAGAATCGGTGAATCTTAAACAAATGCTTACTATTACGTCTAATGGTAAGTTTGTTACCGATCTCGAATCTTGGAATAACTAATTCTATCCTGGGTTTTTCACAATTGTCTTCCGCGTCCTTTGCGGGCAAAAGGATTTTTAGCAGTTAAATAAGTAAGCACCAGGATCTCTGCTGAGAGGCAAGCAATATGTATTTCGGTGTACAACAGTTCGCGAGTGAGTCAGGACACGAATGCTGAATAGTATAGGACAGTACACTGAGTTTTAAAGGTGAGCAACCAACAGGTTTGCTCCAAAAGAATAGATACACACACACATATGACCGCGAGAGGACAGCGAGCTGGATAGCTGGCTGGCCGCGAAGCAGGTGCGCGTGACGGGCGTATGCATATCTATATGCATGTAAGAAACAAAAAAGAGAGAGAACAGGGTGCATGAAAACACGTAGAGAAAAGAGTCAGCATATGCTGCTCGTAAAAATAATTTTGGATCACAAATCACCCCGCACAAAAAGAACTCAAGCTCCCGCGCACAAGTGCATTGAAAGCTAATTAGTTCCGTGCGGCACGTTTTCCTCCAAGAACGTGCGGAAATGCATGAACCATGCATACCAGGACCCTTGCTGCTGGTATGTCATACCAGCAGCCAGTTGACAACACTGATGTTGGCTCTGGGGTTGACTCTCAAAATGTCACCCTCCTCAGACAGGTCTGATCTCTGGTGGGTGATTGATCTTTGTGACCAATTGAATGATTTGAAATTCTCTTTGTGTTTCTGCTTTTTTCTTTCTCTTTCGTGAAAATTAGTAGAACAACGTCGGTTAAGCCCGTTTGCGCGTTTTTTCGGCGATTATCAAGTTTAGATTCGCGAATCGCTTCGTAGACGGAGCTATCGGCGATATCGGCGATTTCGCGAAAATTGCGAATTTTGATCGCGAAAATCAAGAAAATTGCGTAACGGTGCCTACTAGAAACGTTTGTTCGGGTATTTGTAGGTAAGAAACAACAAGTTTGTGCGAAAAAATCGTGGAAGAGCCGTCGAAAAATCTCGCGATGTGGCTTAACAAGGCAAGTCCCTTAGACGAAATTTCAAATCCGCGGTAATCATGAAAATTTAATGAATTCCAGTTCGGTCTGCTGTGTTGGTGTCTCATAAGTGCGAGTCATCAAGTTTTGGGCAGGTGCGGCGTCCAAGATGGCGCCTTCGTCTGTTCAAACGTTTGCGATGAGGACGTTTTGGACTCGGAGGCTTTCAGGTTTGGAGTGGACTTCGTCGGACGTGTTCTGGACTTGAACTGCGTGCGATTTTACGGTCTTTCGGTATGTTGAGGGTAGATGTCGCTGGTTGATCGGTGGAAGATGACGCTTGATGTTATTTTTGTTCAGAGCGTTAGATTGTACGCCCGAACTCGCTGCGTCGGGAAGATAACGCCGGCGATCCGCAGGGTGGTTTCGCCCTGGGAGTTGTGCGGGGGCGCTGCTGATAAAGATCCAGCAGAGGTTTTTCGGACCCGCACTTCGACGTTGTTGACAGGAACCATGACGGTTTCGGGAACGTTGCCAGGTCAAAAAGTAGAGGTTTCCACCACAGGTAAATTAAATTAAATTAAATTAGTGCTCGGAAGTATAAAATAGCCTATTTTCCAGAGCTGACCATAAAGCAGACTTCGTTTTCCATTCCTGTGGTGCCTGAGGTTGAAAAAACTTTGGAAAAACCAAATGCGGTGACGGTGGGTTATTCCCCCATTTTAA